CTGATGTACAAATTTATGAGACAAAAAGCATTTGTGTGGGGTTTTTTTTTTTTAAGATTTATTTATTTTTATTGGAAAGTCAGACTTACAGAGAGAAGGATAGACAAAGAGAAAGATCTTCCATCTGCTGGTTTACTCCCCAACTGGCCACAACAGCCAGAGCTGAGCTGAGCTGAAGCCAGAATCCAGGAGCTTCTTGCTGGTCTCCCACATGGGTACAGGGTCCCAAGGCTTTGGGCTTTGGGCTGTTGTTGGCTGCTTTCCCAGGCCAGGGGCTCAATGGGAAGTGGAGCAGCTGGGATACAAACCAGTTCCCATATGAGACCCCAGTGCATTCAAGGCAAAGATTTAGCCACTAGGCTCCTGCACTTGGCCCAATATTTGGTTTTTGAAGCTGCCAGATTTGCAGCAGTTGGTTATAGTAGTCCCAGGGATGTACTGCAGCCCTCAGACACGGGGGCCTGCAGCTTGTATCAGGCCCAGGAGATTGCTCAGCTTTGTCTTGTGTGCTGATTGGTTGGTTGTTTTGCCTTGTAAGCTGCAATTCTGTGTATGATGGTAAGTCCTTACCTTTATATTGTTTCCTGACTCCAGACTCTTATTCAGCTCCTGAACTCTTTATTTCCATGCCATTTTGTTTGGTATCAGATTTATTTTCCTTTCTAAAATTTCTACTTTTAGTTATTTTGTTTTTTTTTTTTAATCCCTCCAATTCTTTCAGCTAACATTGCAACTTTCTGGAGTGTGTGCGGGGCAGGATCTGGTGTGGGAGGCTTTCTGGCCCTTGGGAGGCAGCTGAGCCCCCGCCCCGTTGCTAAGAGTCCTCACTTGGCCGTGATTTCAGTGAGCTGTGTTGACATTTGTACCTGCCCAGCCGTATACCCGCAGGAGGCAGAGAAGCAGGGAGAGGTGTCCACAGCCGCGTGTGCAGCTGTCAGCTCGTGTTCCGACCTTTCGCGTCATTATTTCAGCAGTGTCGTGCTGGGACTTGCACACACTCACGGCGCTGCCTGGGGACGCCCTTGCTTCTGGAGCATGCTTGCCTTAGTGATTCACAAACACACTTTCCAGAACTTGGGGACAATCCTTTTTAATGTTTTCACAATTTGTTCTTACACGTCGATTGTAAATATGGGCACTTTTCAGAGCTCTCGCTTCATCCCACTCCTTTCATTCTATTTCTTTGCCATCGTTAAACGATCTCAAGGTGCTGTCTGTCATCCGTTCGCTAATATTCAAGTTGCTTCCGAATCTCCCAGAAGTTTGTTGATTTTTTGAGCTTCTTCTCGTCCACAGTGAATCACAACGCCAGGCAATGTCTGCTTTGTGTAACGAAAATGCTGTTGCTTGAATTGATTTTCTTAGCTAGTTTTGAAAGATCTCGTCAATAAAACTTCTGTCTTTAAAAAGTATTTCAAGCACTTTTAAGATAACAAAATAGAAATTCAAGAGAAATTGCCCAAGAGAATAGCTTGAATGATGGCTGCCGTGTTTATTTGCGGCCTGAAGGAGACAGTGCTGCAAGTGACGATTTGGGGAACGTGTACGCTCTAGACAATAAAATAAAAAGGAGTTCTTAAGATAACCATTTATTTTCTATAAAACTTCTTATTCTGAAATATAAGGGCAGATGATTTCAGAAATGCTTGCAATGGCTCTCACGTATTAATACTGAACTTATTTTTTATTTACTTCTGGATTTTAATGTATATATTAATTTGCTCAATTTTCAGACATTTCAGTAATGAAGTATTTCAAATATATGGAGTTGCATTTATGTGAGGGCATACCAACATTTTAGCTGTTTACTTACAATAAGTGCCAATGTGCTGGAAATTTAATCCAAAATTCTTAAATATCTACTTTAAGCAGTGTCAAATGAAAGATCAGAAGACATCACTATTAATTGGGCATTAATGTATATTTTCTTTTCCTCATTTATCTGTAGTCTCATAACAAAGTTAAAAATCCGAGATAATTTTAAGATGTAGAAACTTGCTGTAGCATTTGGTTTTGCTTAAGGGGCCATAGTCTCAAGTTTGCTGTTTAATCTGTTTTCTTAAAGTGCTTAGAATTTCCACAGCACATGTTTCTCCAGTGTATTACCATGTCTTTAGTGTTCAGCTCTGACTCACAAACTGGAATTTCATGCAGGAGAATCCCTGAGAGAGAGAGAGAGAGAGAGTGTGTGTGTGTGTGAGACAGACTTTTCCACAGAAAGTGAAATGCCAAAAGGAAAATATCAAGAGAAAATAAGAAGGCAGATCTCATCGTGACTTTTTCTTCCTATTCTGACAATGTCAAGAACTTTACAAAGAATTGGGTTATTAGTTCAATCCATACAGATATGGCATAAAGAAACAGAACTTGATTTGAAGTATTGCAGAAGAAACTTTAGCAAATCAATGTCTCTAGCCAGAAAATAAACAAATTCTCAGGGAAAGATGTTTTGTTCCAACTCATGGGTGTGTGATGGAGGCTGTTTCACTTCCCAGAATTTCAGCAATTAGTCATAAAACTGCTTTTCAGAAAACCATTAAATGTTTTTGATAAACTGTCATATTGTGTTGTTTTGGATTATTTTATGTCTCAAGTTGAATTGTTAAGTGAATAACCACTTGCTACAAGCCTGCTGTGAGTGTTGTGGCCATTTGAAGCCCCAGGGAAGCTCAAGGAAGCAGTGTGTAAATAGAGCTTAAGTTTATAGATAACAGTAAGACACCCACTGGTGTTGGTTGGGGGAGAACAGAGCATCAAAGGAATCTCACTGAACTCCCAAAAGTCATCACCTTTAATGCCCAAGCCTGCAGTTTGCAGTTGTAGCAGTCATTAAGGCTAATGCTTCCTAGCGCTTCTCAGCATGTTGACTGTTATCTTATTTCAGTAGTGAAGAGCACTGTGGCTGAGATAAAGTGCAGACAGGTGAAGATGAAACCACTCAAGCCGTTAGTGGCAGGGGTTCCGCCACGCACTGGAGGAAAAGGCTCCTGGACGCCTTTCTTTGGGGTGACCTGCTCCGTGTCAGCACGTGCATGTCCAGGGAGACACAGCGATGGGGATGGCCTCTGGGGTGGGTGGAGGCCTGTCACCGTTTGTCATCCACTTCCTTCCTCCTTGGTCTTCCCTCCCTTCTCCCCAGACTCCCCTAAGCCTGAAGACTCTCATGCTCAGTTTAACTTGTATTTGTGGAGCGATTTTTTTGATCACCTGGAACTCTCAGCTCCCTAGAAATACCCAGATGTATGGTGCTGGTTTGTTGTCCTTCCCTCAGAAACCAAATCTGGAAATATTTCAGATATATTTCATTTGCCTCGACAGTGTTGTCCAAAACAGATAAGTACGCTTGGCAATTGCATTTGTGGAATAAGAGAATCGTTGGGTGTATGTCTTATTGTGCCTCTGTTGGGGGGGGGGGGTTGCACAAAAGACTTCCTGCCTCCTCAGTCCCAGGAAAGCTAGCCTTGTGAGCTTCTGTCATGTTGTGTCTTGCAGATTCAGAGGTTTTATTGTTATTGTTATTTTGATTGGATTGGTAGACTTACAGAGAGAGCAGCAAAGACAGAGAACTCTCCCAAACCCTGGTAGGCTCCCCACATGGCCATCTGACCAGAACTGAGCTGATCCAAAGCTGGGAGCCAGGAGCCTCTTCCCATCTTCTCATGTGGGTACAGAGTCTCAAGGCTTTGGGCCATTCTCTGATACTTTCTGGGGCCTTAAGTTCACTCCGGGATTGGACAAGATACAGCCTGAATCCATGCCCATACGGGACGCCAACATCACAAATGATGGATTAGCTTGCTATGCCATCATGTCGGTCCCACCGATTTGGGTTTTAATTTTACCTTTGTCACCTTTCTTGTTATGACCAAGGAAAAATTAGGAGATGCCTATGTCGTATCATCTTAGTCCCACTACTTTGTGTTGCTATAACAAAATACCCAAGAGTGTTTGATTGTAAGTAGAAGAAGTTTATTTTAGCTCAGAGTTTTTGAGGCAAGAAAGTTCAAAATTCAGGGCCATATCTGCTCGAGAATAAGCAACCTGGTTATAACATGAGCAGTTGGATGGCATTTATCCATTGCTTAAACACTCCATCAGAAGCCAAGGTTCATCCTGAGTTCTGGTGGGGACACCCAGTCCAGGCCTCAGCAGCCACCATTGCCAGCCTGTCAGGAGCGCTGCCATGTGATTGGACACCAAGATCACCTTGCTTTATGTTCTTTCCTTATTTTGGCATTTGCCTAACCTCTGTTCACTTGTGTTACACCATGTTCTTTGTATACCTTGGGTCTCTTGGTCTTTGTCCTTGGAGTTTACCCTTGCTCCCGTCGTTACACCATGCAAGTGGAAAACCAGCGACTTGAACTGCACAGGTATGGAAAGGGAGTGTCAGTGCTCCCCAGTGCGTCTGCCGGCCCAAAGCACAGCTCCTGTGGTTTGGTCTCGCTTTTCACCCCTCTCTGCACCTGCACTTTTCTCTCTGCTCCTTCAACTGACGGTGGACCTCTGCGGGGACATACCGGGGACCAATGCAGGAGGACCTGTGTCCTGTACAGCAGCCCTGTGGCTGTTTCAGACCCAGGGTACAGCAGCTCTTGACCTTTCCCAGGAAGGTCATGTCTTAGCAGGTCCTTCCGCCTGGCCTCTGCTCAGCAGTTTTGTTGTGGGGGACTCACTTGTTCCTGATCTCCCCGCTGGCAACCCAAGAGGAGTCACCCACAGTGCTGCCTGAGGTTGGCTTCAAGCTTTCCCATCCATACCAGGGTTTCCTATCAACTGGCTGAAACTCTCAGCAACAAAAGAAAACCCAGACACTCCAAGGTGTGCTGACACACAGGTCCCTGAGGTCGTGACGGCCGGGAGTCCAAAGGCAGCATGGTGCTTGGCCTCCCTGGCTTCTGTTTTCTAAAGATGAATTTATCCTCTAAGTTTCAGATTTGGTTAAGTAATAAAGCTGAGTTTTCTGTTTCTTTTCTTACACATGATGCTCTTCCTTGTAGGATCTTACACATTTGTCCCATGGCTTCTCAGCTTTAAAAGAGGAAGAGCCCTGGAAGAAAAGGAGAATAAAATATTGGTCAAAGAGACTGGTTACTTCTTTATATATGGTCAGGTAGGTTCATGCCCCTGTCCACCCTCACAGCCCATGCCCCCGCCCTTGCACACCCTCCTGACCACACTCTTCGGCTTGTCCCTCAGGTCTTATACACTGACAACACCTTTGCTATGGGACACCTGATTCAGAGGAAAAAAGTCCACGTCTTTGGAGACGAACTGAGTCTGGTGACTTTGTTCCGATGCATTCAAAACATGCCCGAGACACTGCCCAATAACTCATGCTATTCCGCTGGTGAGTAACAGCTCCTAGGCTTGTTCAGTGTCACATGGAGCGAGGCTCCGGAAAGTGAGCTGCCATTTGCAGGCCCGGAAGAATGATGCCCGAGATGTAATTAGAAAGACCCTCCTCCATCTCTTGTGTGTGTTGCATTCTTAGTCATCAGCAGCTCTGTTCAATTGTGACAGACTGATCGTTCTTGTGTAAGTTTATGAAGAAGGAAGCAAGTGCGTGGCATTCTACATTGAGACCAATCACGAGAGATCTCTTCCTCCATCTGCACCAGCAGCAATAATACAAGGAAACATCCGCAGATGGAGTCCAGTCTGTCAGGTGCTTTTGCCACTAGACACTTGCTCCCTCTTCCCGTGTAAGTGATGTGGAATCTGAGTCAGAGCCAGCACGTAGTTGCCCAAGGGTGCAGCTACTGAGTTCAAGGACTTGTTTTCACCCCATCATGCAGCGTGGTCCTCTCGCGCTCTTCCCCATGCTGCAGGGGAAGGTACGGGAGAAACACAAGATGGAAGGGTGAGTGGTGCAGAGGCTCCTCCATCATTCACACAGAGATGATAGCAGGTGCAAACAGGCACCCGACACTGACCCTGGGGCATGGCACAATGAGCAGAGAGCAGCAAGGGCAGGTCATGTTAGCTGAAACTGCCAACAGCCCTTCATTTTATTTATTTCTTTAGTTAGTTAGTTATTTGGAGAGCAATGGTAAATGAGTTAAGACCAATCTTAGAAGGATATGCTTGTCTTAGCATATTTCTTTTTCTCTGGGAATTCTGGCAAATCTTTTTGGAACCCTGAGGAATGGCTTCAGTTCCAGTCACCAAGGGACTGCCCGTGTGCTGGGCAGCCCTGGGTCAGGACCAGAGGCCACCCATGTGCTGAATAGTCTTGGGTCAGGATCAGAGGCTGTCCATGTGCTATGCAGCACTGGCTCAGGACCAGGGTCCACTTGTGTGCTGAGCAGCCCTGGGTCAGGACCAGGGGGTGCCCGTGTGCTAGATAGTACTGGCTCAGGACCAGGGCAGCACTGGGTTTCCAAGGCGCTGCATCAACATATGCCCAGAGAATCAGCTAGAAATGAAAACAAAGGATTTATGCTAAAAAAAAAAAAAAAAAGGAGATGATTTTGTTCTGGATCTGCAAACATCAATGGGATGAGGAGGAAGTTCATTAAACTGGAATTCCCTAATTTTCATAAAGTCTTCTTCTTGAGCCCAGTGCTGACCAGCATTTTGGTATTGCAAAATGCTCATAAATGGCACGGCCACCCCAATCTGCTATTTATCAGATTGTGTGTACTTAGAGTTTCACAACCCTTTTAGAGTTGGTACTCAGCTGCTCCCTCACATGGAATTCCTAGGCGAGTCCTGCCAGCTTTCATGGTGCTTTCCTTCTCAAGAGGCCCTGATTGACCTTAACAACTCAGTGTCATGTGTGAGAACCATCTGTCTTAATTAAATTGCAGGTCTGCAAATTCATCTGTTTGGGACAAATTTTGTTTAAAATCATTAAAAGTCACATTAGCATGTAAGTGCATAAAACGTTTCTGTAAAAAATCTGAGAAAACTAAGTGGCCAACTTCAGAAGCCTAAAATAATACTGGGGCCAGTGTTGCAGTACAAGTGGTTGAGCGACTATTTGGGACACCAGCGTCCCATCATGGGCGGCTGGCACCAATACTGGCTCCTCTGCCCCTTGTTTGTGTCCCTGCTGACATGCTCGGGAAAGAAGAGGAGAATGGCCGGAGGCCTTCAGCCCTTGTCACCCATGCAGGGGACCCAGATGGAGCTCAGTGCTCATGGCCACAGACTGGGCCAGGCGTAGCTATTGTGGCCACTTGGGGAGAGAACCAGCAAATGGAGGATATCACATCCTCTGGCTGCCTTTCCAATATATAAATATTTTTAAGATACATAAATTAAGGAGTTGTTGCTGCACACGGAGCAGAATCCTGTGATTTGCTCACCGTAGAGAACACTCTAGCTCTTTCCTGTTGATTACTGTCAACAGAGGGAGTTGAAAGAGCCAGGAACGCGGAGTAGGAATGGCCCATGAAATCAGCAGGTTCAAAACATTTCATTTGTAGCACTAACATGACTTGGTTCTCTACATTCTCTAGGTTTTCCTAAAACAGTGGGTTGCCTTAATGTCTATGATAAAGACAGATACTGGTTAGACAAACAAGGCTCCACTTTGCTTTTTCAAAGCACTGAAGTTGGTCCTCTAATACTGTGCCAATGACAGAAAATATAGCCTTTACCTATAACAATACTTTAAAACATACTCTTCTGGCTGTTGCCATTCTGGGTGGCTGAGCATAAACCCCAGTGCAGGAGAGGACCTTCTGTGCTCCAGTAGTTGTCTGTGTGCTGGTCTCCAAGAGGGTCTGGCACACAGCGAGTGTGCAATCCATCACCGGCGGCTGCTTCTGGCCCCAGTAGGTCTGGGTGCTTTTGGCCTTTCGGATAAAGCAGACACTGATGGGCATGGATAGGCTTGTGTAAGGACGCTTCGTCACGTGTGAAAGAAACAATGCAATTACTTTGTAAGTCGAGTTGTGATTTTATTTGATAGTTTTTCTCCCCTGCTCCTCTTCTTTCTTCTTCAAATTATCCTCTAAATCAGCTAAGACATCCTCAGTGTAGTTTGAATTCTATTTTATATTCCCAATGCTTAGATTTATCCCTCATTTTAGACTAATACACATGCATTGATCATTTTTAAGGAGATAACCAATTCAGTACATTTAATCATAAGAAACATTTAAGCAAACAAAATGTGAAAGGCTTTAAAAAGCGATCTACATGACACCTAAATCCAGGGGCCTGATTGCAGAGATCAGTTGTGTTTAAAATTGTTCTATGATGATAAAGGATGTTTGTAAAATTGCTTGAGAGGCACAGAGCTAGAAGGAGAGCTTCCACCTGCTGGTTTACACTCCAGATAAGCTACAACAGCTGAAGCTGGGCTAGACTACAGCTAGGAGACAGGAGTCCAGCCCGGTCACTGAGTGGCCTCCTGCTACTTCCCGGGATCTGCAAGGCAGGGTGCTGGAGCCAGAGCCTGGGCGGGATCTGCAAGGCAGGGTGCTGGAGCCAGGGCCTGGGCGGGATCTGCAAGGCAGGGTGCTGGAGCCAGGGCCTGGGCGGGATCTGCAAGGCAGGGTGCTGGAGCCAGGGCCTGGGCGGGATCTGCAAAGGCAGGGTGCTGGAGCCAGGGCCTGGGCGGTATCTGCAAGGCAGGGTGCTGGAGCCAGGGCCTGGGCGGGATCTGCAAGGCAGGACGCTGGAGCCAGGGCCTGGGTGGGATCTGCAAGGCAGGGTGCTGGAGCCAGGGCCTGGGTGGGATCTGCAAGGCAGGGTGCTGGAGCCAGGGCCTGGGCGGGATCTGCAAAGGCAGGACGCTGGCTGTGGGAGCCGAGTCCTCTACTGCAGGTCACAGGCTGCCCCATTGCTCGGCTAAGCGGTCACCCCCGAAGTCTCCCTTCTCACTTTTCAGTGCTTATCATCCCATGTACGTAGGTAAAATAGGACCATGACTATCCAACATGTGGGTGTCATGCTCCGCACTTGGCAACTTTTATGTAGGAATGAGTGCAGTTTTTGTATTTTTACTATTATGTAGATAAATTTTTCCCATTTTTTTGTTTTCCATTATTGTAAAGTGTCTCCTTGTTAATAAAATTAAGCAAAATCAATATTTAACTCTGCAAGATTCTACCAAGGCGTGTGCTGTGGTTTACTTACTTTAAGCTGTGATAAAAATGCTTATATCTGCTGTAACTGCTTGTACTTACTGCTTTGGGGTATGTTTGGCCTAATCGGATTGTCCATGAGTTAGAGGCCATCAGGCATACTCGGGAGGGTGAAGAGCAATGGGAAAAGTTTCCCAAAACAGCATAGCTTTTTGTAAGAATTTGAAGGGGAAGGGACAGTTATACAACACTTACATTGTTGCGAATGCTTCTTCCCTAGGCATTGCGAAGTTGGAGGAGGGAGACGAACTTCAGCTTGCCATACCACGAGAGAATGCGCAGATCTCACGAGATGGAGACGGCACTTTCTTTGGTGCCTTGAAGCTGCTGTGAGCTGCTTGCACCGCACGGCTCCTCCCCACCCCGGTGTAACCTCTCTGGGGAAGCTGACCTGCTGCTTGCACCGTGCACAGCTCTTCCCTACCCCGAGCGTAACCTCTCCGGGGAAACACTTAGCAAAAGGAACAAACAGTAGTCACTATGGCCTTCTCTGTGAGCTATTTGTTTTGGTTTGCTGAAACTAGTCTGAAACAGGAAATTTAACAGCCGGCCGCAGACTATCATGTGAATTACAAGAAATAAAGTCCATGTAAGGAAAGATGGAATTAGAAAGATGTGTCACTCTAATTCCTCATTGAGCAATTGGCTCACGTCTTCCTATCTTTGGAGGAAGCGCACAGCTCAAAGGGGCATTAGGATTTCTGCAGACCTGGGGCGCTGTGACTGGCCATACCTGGAGTGTTCGCATCTGTGGCACAAGATGGGCAATCTTTGGTTTATGCTGTTTCCTTTTCTATTAAATAGGCCCCTTTTCATTTCAGCGAACATTACAGAAATAAAACAAGAATGCTAGAAATCTTGCAACAGACACACAAGCCAATCATGGCAGGCTTCAACTTAAATACTAACTATTATACTCCAAGCAGGATATTGTTTACATCTTTTGGGACTTAACTTGTAATTGTTATGTCTCTGAGTTTATCCAAATGATTTTCACAGGAGGGAAGAGTCTTTCTCATTCATCTGTGCCTCTCTGCACTTTCTGCCATGCAAGCCAGCTGCCCTCGAAACTCATATAGAACAACTCCAATTCATGCACAGAACGCAGACACTGAGCTATAACTGCCCTTCTGCTGGTGAGAATGCAATATGGTTTCTGCTTTATTTCCTGTTTTTCTGTTTCAAACTGCTGCTGTTATAGTTCACATACCCAGCCTGTTGGTAGAGAATTCTGCACTCGCTCGACAGGCGCTGAGGTTTAGCACAACGTCGTAGCATCCTTAAGTATAGCAGAGGCCGGTCCCGCCTTGCCAGGATCGGGAGGTCTCAGAAGACAGTATCCTGATTTCATTTTTGAAAAAGCTGGGCTTGCGAGTGCTGCTGTGCTGACCTCTCACGCCTTCAGGGCTCCTCGGTGTGCTTGCCTTCGTTCCTCATGTCAGCAGGATTTGTCTTAAATGGTAGATGCAGGAATAGACTCCAGTCTACACTAATTTTCCCATCTACCCAAATACATTTTAAGATAGACTTTTCAAAACAAAGAACATGCTTTAAATTTTGCATCCAAAATTAAACTTGTTTAAATCTCTGATTTTTCTGATTCTTGCTTTTTAGTTCAAATAGAATATATTTTTGCAATGTATTTTGTTTTACAAGGTTATACATAAAGAATCGAAATGGATGTGGTGGGGTTTGGATAATGAAGAAATGGTTAGTATTTTTCCTTGTGTTGCTGCTAATGTGAATGTCAAATAAAACAGAGTGCCTTTGGCCTCATCGTCTGAGTTTGTCAATACCTATCGTTTGGTTTCTGTGTAAACAAGTAAAGATCACTTCAAAAATCTGCTGATGGACCAGTGTGGTAGCCAGTGTTTTAAGTTACCAACTGGAGGATCTCCAGTTCCAGTCCCAGCTGCTCCACTTCCAATCCAGCTCTCTCTCTTTTTTAAAAAAAACATTTATTAATTTTTATTGAAAGCTACATATACAGAGAGGAATAGAGACAAAAAGAAAGCCTTCGTCCGCTGATTCACTCCCCAAGTGGCCACAACGACCAGAGCTGATCCCAGCCAAAGCCAGGAGCCAGGAGCTTGTTCTTGGTTCCTGATGCAGGTGCAGGGTCCCAAGGCTTTGCACCATTCTTGACTGGTTTCCCAGGCCACAGGCAGGGAGCTGGATGGGACACAGGGCCATTGGGATCAGAACCAGCGCCCTTATGGGGCCCCCGTGCATGCAAGGCAAGGACTTTATCCACTAGGTTACCACGCCAGACCCCCAACTCTCTTTTAATGCACCCAGGAAAGCAGTGGGAGCTGGCCCAAGTGCTTGGGCCCCTGTGATCCATGTAGGAAATTCTGATGGAGTTCTAGGTTCTGGTTTCAGCTTGGCCCAGGCCCAACACCTGTGGCCATTGAGGAGTAAAACAGTGAATGGAAGATTTCCATCTCTTTCCTTCTGCAACACTGCCTTTCAAATAAATAAATCCTTAAAACATAATGTAATGTGAAAAAATATAACATAATACCTGCTGGAATTTAATAATAAAGAGTTTGCCAATGTGCGAATTTTTTCATATTTGAAAAGGAATCTATTATTATCTGTATTTATCTATATAAAATATTCTTTCTTGAAGCCTAAAGTTTCTCTGTTTGTACTTTGCTTAACTGAAATATTTAAGCGTCAATAATTGGATCAAGGAAGAGAATGTTGGCATATGGTAGGAATCATTCATTCAACCAAAGACAGTGGTGCAGAGCATGGGGCACTATCACTGTAAACTAGCAATCAGCAAGAGTGCTCCACCTCACAGGAGCAGTGCGGGCAAGCAGACCCTTCCAGTTCTGTTTCCAGAAAACGATTTGGTCCATCAGCTTACTGCTGCCGCCTGAGCTGTGAAAGGAAAGAGCTCCTGAAGTGAAATAAGCACTCTCGCTTCTCTTTGGGACTTTCCAAGAACCCAAGGTTGCGGCAGAGGTCAGGTTATGCACATGTCTCAGAAGGCTTTCAGAAGACCTAGCCTTACTGTCACCGTTTTCCATTGTCTAGGCTGTCACGTTCCCCACTGGCTTCAGTTACAAAGTCCAGTCTTGGACTCATCCATGTCTAGAGGGTCACACCTGGTGGAAATGGCCATCAGTCATTTTTACAGGACACAGGGAGGCGCAGCAGGGGCAGGGCAACAAATGTGGACAGGGCAGTAAGCAAGGGAGTTACCCATGGAGGACAGAATAGATCTTTTAGATCAAGCAGGTTCTGGTCTGGCATCAGTTTCTGGATGGCCCTCTGTCCACCTGGTTCCTGGGCGGAGTCCTTCTGCAGTTGGCTCTTATGGATCCAGTGTCGCTTCCCAACTACCCTGACAGCTGTGGGCACCGTCTTGATGACAGCCTCCCACTGTGCCTCCAGGCTGGCTGGGTGATGTTGCAGGATGCAAGCCAGAACTTCTGAAGCCTAAGGTCTGGCTGCTGGGGTAGTTGGGAGACTGGGTGTGGCTTCTCCCTAGTCCTCCCCTCCACGCAGATACAGGAAAAGAAATGGAACACTTGGAAGCAAAGATCACACCCACTTTTCGCTGACCCTCGATCCTTCCCATCTTGATCAACTATGTAAGCCTATATATGTAAGTATATATAACCATATATATACTAGATGTATATATGTATATATGTAACCACAATATAAACTGCCTGACACACAAAGCTATTATAATCTACAGCTTACAGGACAGTTGTTCTCAGATTATTTAATGTGTTTGTAAGCAGATATAGAATATAGCCATGTAAACTATCTCAATTTACTGTTGGCTTAAATCAGTGATACAATGTGAGTCCCACCTTCCTTATATGTGAGACAGGGAAACAGCCTTTGCTTAAGTGAAGTGTATTTGGATATCTGGAAATAGATGTAGGGTAGGAGAGGAACAGCAGCCATGTGACCGTGCCTGCTGGCAACACCAGTTATCAGAGTTTTCTTTGTAAACTTTGTCCTTGATTTTTTTTAAAAGATAGAACTTATTTCTTCAAAATGTAGAATTAGAGAGAGAGAAATCTATCCACTGGCTCACTCCCCAAATGGCCCCAACAGTAGGCTGTGCCAGACCAAATCCAGGAGCCAGGAGCTCCATCCGGGTCTGCTGTTTCTCCCAGGTCCATCAGCAGGGAGCTGGGTTAGACATGGAGCAGCCCAGCTAACTTGAACTGGCACGCACAAGGGATGCTGACACTACAGGCAACGGCTTGCTTGTTAAGCCACAACACTGAACACCTCAATGTTTTTTTGTTGTTGTTGTTTGTTTTTGTTTTTGCTTTTTAGGGAAAGAGATGCCATACTTGAAGTGAATGAACCCAACCCAGACTCCATATTAACTTAGAGTCCAAATCCAAAGTTGTGCTTGTGGATACCTATTCTAGGCTATTGATCATTCCGTTTTGTAGCTCAATAGGTTCACAGAACACTCAGTATAACATAATTTGCAGTTCTAACTGGCGCCTGGAGAGACGCTCTGTAAGTGACTGTGAAAAGAGAAGGTCTTGCCAGCACGATTTGGTCTGGTCTGGTAATTAGATTCCGAAGTGTTTCCAGTTTGGAACAACTTTGGATAATATGGCTATGCGTACTTTCTTAAAATAGCTGGATGAACCCAACCTGTGTACCTATTTCTGCTAGGTTTATATCTGGAAGCAGAATTGCTGCAACATAAGATGCATTTATGTACAAATTCCGGGAATACTGCCAAAAATGCTCATCAGTTTTTTGAAGATCTAACAGAATCAGGTTTTGCAGAATAAACTTGAAGGGACAGATCACCATCAGCCAGCTCCAGCCAAGTGAATGCTGCTATGTCCAGTACACCTGTTAGCATCGGGGCCACGCTTGCTTCTCCAGGGGGTAACCAAGCTGAATGTAGTCCTAATTAATTGCAAACACACACTTTATCTACATTAATTTTGGGAGCATATGGAAGTTGGATTCACTTTATAACTTAATCACAGTTGACAAGGGGGCTTGAACCCTCAGAGCAGTTTCCCTTTCAGAATTCCTCTTGTCCTGTGATCCAAGCTCAGGAATGAGGGGCTGGCCCAAGCTGGTTGGAGTTCTAAATGCTGAGGAAGGTCTTGGGATCTTGTCGCAGGTGATCAAGGATCAAATGTTTCTGTTTTACTCAGCGTGAGGTTTGTGGTGATTTCCTCACCTTTGTCATTGTGCAGGTGGCCTGAATCGTCTGTCATTTAAAACCAAGAAATGGAATCATGTCTTATATAACTTTGAAAATAAAAAATACAAGTATACTAGTAGTAACATCCTAACAGACATGTTGCTTAGGTTAGGTCTACTTTGCCCTCTTAGGCCGGTATAATATTTGCAAATACTTAGAACATACAATAGTGGGTTTTTTTGCACAATTATTTTTGTGCATGTGTAAATGTTCAACACATTGGTTTTGCTTACCTAATCTTGATCTCATCTAGTTTTTGAAGTCCTTCTTCAGTCACACACAGTGTGTAAAGCTAAGTACAAAGATTGAAACAAATGGGTTGAAGTAGAATAGTTGACTCTGTGTGGGGGCCCCAACCGACAGCAGAGGCAGTGGAGCCCTGGTACCCACAGAACATGATGATGGGTTTCTCTGTGTCTCACTTGCTCCAAAGCCTTGTTCAAGTTTGTAGGAGACACTGATCATGTTCTCACTTGTAGCTTGTGTGTGTGTGTATTATTGTTATTATTGAACTACATTTCCAAAAAAAAAAAACATGCATTCAGGTTCCAACACCTGATTCCATAAGGCTGACCCTCTCTGGAAATGGGATCTTCACAAATGTAAATAAGATGTATGTTAAAGTGGGGCCACTTTGACGTCGAGTGGGCTACTCATCCAACTGTTGCCGTCCTTCTGAGGCTCACAGACACACACATAGTGGGAGGGGCACTGGAGCATCCAGGCAGCCATCACAGAGACAGGCCTAAAAGCCGAGGAGCAGCAAGCATTTCCAGATGCCGGCAGAGGCAGATTGCCCCTGGGACAGCAGAGGAGGAAACGATAGCCAGCCTTCAGAACAGTGATTCAGGAAGAGAAAGAGAAAATCTGGGAAATCCAAAACTATATTCAGAGCGATTTGAATGACAATCACACCCAAGACAGGACTGAAAACAAAACAAGACGGAAAGGTACAGCCCAAGTGCGAATGAGGGGATGAGGCATTCCAATGGAACACCACATTTGTCTGGTGGACATCCCAGTGAGGTGTCAGGTAAAGCCTCATGTGAGTGAGACAGGATGGAAGCAGGACTCCTAAAACCAAGCCCCTCCTGACCTGACACATACCTACCTCATGACCTGACCACATGTCCATCTCCAGCCTGAAGCCATCAGCAGCAGTGGACGGCCAGCCCTTCCAGCCAAATGCCCTCTAGGACTTCCCCAGCTGGCTGCCTGCAGCAGCTAAGTCTGAGTCAGGATAAAGTCTGGAGCCAGGTCTCCCACATGGGTGGGAGGGACATTGAAATTATTTGAGCCACTGCTACTCATTCCCACCCAGGAGCAGGAGGCTGGATAGGAAGCAAAGGAAGATCCCTGGCATTCTGATAGGCAGGAATGTGGGTATGCTAAGCAATGATGTGACCATGCACTCACTGTGCCACACACTCCTTCCATCAGTCAGCCTTCAGCTGCTTTTGGTTGGAGATACCTGTTGACTACACTGTAATAGACATGTTGAAGACACCTTGGTCATGGAGGTTGGGGCTATTCCTAATACTGCGTTTTTCCTTTATTGATCAAGGCTACCCAGAACATTCTTCTGCTTGCAGCACACAGTTCTTTCCAGTTCTAACCCCCTTCTGGTCACTCAGCGAGACTACTCT